GTTCGAAAACCTTGCCGCTGTTGGTCGCTGATGCCAACCATTTACGTTGATCGTTCTTCGCTGCGCCTCTTCGGTCCAACGATGGACTTAAAAGGGATGGATGAGACGAACCATGAGCACAAAAGGCTTCAAAACTCTACAAACAGCAAGAGTAATATGCTACTTGTCAAACGTCCTATTTTGGTATCAGGACGTGTGCGAGTCTCACTGAGAGCTCCGGGAAAACATCAGAAACCAAACATTTTCAGCTGAGGAATAAGCCACAAAGTGGTATGTTGTCATCCAAAATATGAAGCTCTTGAACAGCTTCTCCTCACTCATCCTACTTAAAAAACTGTTACATATTACCTGAATCTTAAATATTTCAAGATTAAGTAACGAAACTATCCAAATCGTTAAAGATTCCAAATTTCGTGGAAGATAACGAATTACTCATTCGTTCGCCATACACTAATTACGTGCGTAGCGTCATACTGACAGTAATTTCTCAACCAATGTTTAACTAGGAGACGCTCCCTCCCTCCCTCCCGATTCTTGTCTTCAAGTATATTTTCCTCTTGTTTTGCAGCTGATTCACCATATTTTGAGGTCTTAAAGATTTTATTTGATCTGACTTTTGAAAGCATCTAAATTATTTCTTCAAGTTGATTCGTGTATCTGTTAAGCTGCCACTTGGCTTTATTTTATACATATTAGGCCGCTGATTTACCATGTTGTGAGGTTTAAAGAATGAATTTGATTTCACCATTGTGAGGTATTTTATTTCTTGTCCTAAAGGATAACTGAAGTCCAAATTCATGTAATTTTTTCCCTGTAGATCGTACATTTATGTATGATGGAACAAATTTCCGTCATGTTTTGTTCCTCGAACGACAGTATATTTCGTGTATATTTTTAGCTACCATTAGGCAAGATTTTAGACACATTTGGCAGATGATTATGAGGTTTGAGGTTTTACAGATTTCTTTTGATTGACCTTTCTTTTTGTCCCGCAACTACATTGTGAGCTACTTCGCTCCTTGAGCGTGAATCTTATTAATCGCAGTTTTAACGCGCGGTCAGTTTTTATTTTTGCCAGGTCACAGATTGAGTTTTCTGTATCAATTTGCTCATCATTCCCCGACAGTTTTGTCACGTTTGGCTGAAGATATATCTGTTTTTTTTGGTAAAAACTGTGTTAAAAGTTCATCTTGCGTCTGTTGATATCACGTATATGATTCATTTTAGCTCCAAGTTTTAGTGCACTGGCTAACGCTCTTGGAGTTAATAATTACATAGCTACTATAGAGGGCACGGTACCGCTACTGGAGGGAGATGGCAAAAGTATAAATTCTCACCACTATTGAATAATTTAGACATACCATGAGGTAGCTCCAAGGAGCCTTTGATTAGTCCTCCTGGTATCATTTCAGTTGGTTCAACAAGGAAGCCCATAAACTTATACATGTAACTCTCTGAGTTTTAAGGATGTTTTAGTGGAAGTAAAAGAGCTGCCTAGATACCAAAGATGCTGGGAACTTCTTGAAATTTCAAGAATTCTTAAATATCCTTTTCCATGCATGAACAAATGAGAACCGCCGCCTTAAAACGAAATGAGACAATTTCAATGATAGTCTTTACTATTTATTTTCAGACGTAAACGTTATTCCTTTGTTACAACATAAAAGGTGAAGTATTAACTGAAATAGACCCTCGCCAGTCATGGAGGGAAGGTGGAGAAAGTTTTCACTACTAATCGAGGACGTGAAAAAGTTAACAAAACCGCTACAAGAAG